CTCCTCAGAATCCCTGAGCATCGATTGCAGTGTTCATTAATTCATTGAACACCTCCCCTAGCCCCTCAAGAGTACCCTTTTTCATGCAATTATTATAGATGGTTCATAATTTTAATTTGGTGCTTAGTGATGGTTATTGCATGTTTCTGCACTCGTAGCCTGCAGATGAGGACAATCTGACCCTTTTTATGAGCACCTTAATCAAAGCTGTGGCGGTGAAGGATCAGGCCTGTAAGTGGCCGCAGGTCACACAGTAAACACTGTTGATTGCTGATCGACTGATCTAGTTTGAAACAGCACTCTAGAGGAAAAAAAATGACATTAATAATCTACAAGAGTTCCAATTTTCTGTTTCTACAATGAAACATTTGATTCAAAGGCCTTTTGATCAATACCTTCCAGATGATTTATATCATGTCATAACCCTGAGATAGTTTATGGAGAGCTAAAGGACAAGATAAAACCTCCCTGATGCCCTCTAATGGCTTGGATGATGAATTATGTATCTTCATAGACCTGTTTTTGGCTGTCATTGCTGGTTATGATCTACACAGCATGCTCTAAAAATCATAGCATTATTGCTGGTTAGTCTGAAAAAAATCAGTCTATGGTCTATGCAACATTTTGCTTTTGAAACAAACTGAAGAAATTTTTAATTCAGTCAGAATTAATATTTCCAATTTTGTCTCATAAGTTCTAGGTGTTAACTGAATAAGTGTGAGGTACAAGCTTTATAGTACTTGGTAATTATTTTGGGTAACATGATGGTAAGTTCCAATTCAGCTTAAGTAAATTAGACTGAAATGATAAATAGGTTTTGGATATTAAGCAGATAAAGGACATGGTAAAATGCCCCATTAATAGAGAAATTAATCTGACAATTTGAAATTGTTGTAACAAGGTGGGTGCTACGAGCACTAAATTTTACTGTAAGGTCACATGATTAGACAGGAAGTAAATCAGAAAAATCTGTAAATAAATGGTAAGGACCCTGTAGAACTATAGTAAGAATCATTGCTTTCTTTTATAGACAAGATTCCGTTTTATTTCTAGGTAGTAGACAAATACACACTATATGACTTGTATGTCTTATATCTTTTACACCATATAACTACTTGGTACTTGGAGGTGTTTCCAGTGTACTTTTCAGGTTAAATACACTGAAATGTAGTGAGTGTGTTTATATTGCCATACTTGGAATGTTTCATTGTAAAGAGAGCAAAATTAGTGTTGTTTAACTGGATTTAGTGCAACACAGTATACCTAATATTGAATAAAAATTATTGTATTCACAGTTTTTGATTATATTTTTTAAAATGTAGCTCTACTGGTTCTTTTTTCCCCTGTTCAAACTGATTAGATTCTGAAAAAATAAAAATCATGACATATCATGATATAACATTTTTGCCATATTGGCCGCTCCTTACAACCGCATTGTTACTCTAAGAAATGATCAAAATATGAGATAGTTGTCCTATGTTCTTTATCCGCATAAACCCTTAAAGGCCAGGGCCGGCCTGCTGGTTAAAGGTTTTATTACACACTTCTGTAACCTAAGAATAGCTAAACCAGTTTGCTTTGGAATCACTGCAGTTACTGAGTTATAAGCCTTAGTGTGCAATAAGCCTGGGGTTTTAAGGGGTTAATAGCTAGAATGGATTATAATGGATTTCAGTGTAATATAGTTGGACTGACTGGTTATTTACCATAATTTTACCCCAGATAGTTATACCGTACTTTGGAGAATGTACTGCACACTTACCCAATTAATACTTAAACCCTGTTAGGCAATTTCAGTGTAATTTCTTTAACCTCTTAAAATCCCAGGCTTATTGCATACCAGAGCTTATTATTCAGTAGCTACGGCGACTTCAATGCAAACTCGCTGAGCTATTCTTAGGTTATAGAAGTGTATAATAAAAGTTGTCCATTTAAGGGGTTAAACCGGCTTGAAGCATACCAACAACTCAAAATAATCACTTCATGCTTTGGAGTTAAAACTTACCCAGTCAATGCCTAGAACTTGAGGGAGTGTAAAAGGTTGATAGAAGTTGCATAAAATACACTATTTTGTTAAACTCATGCTCATATAGTTATTTCCACTGAAAGTTTGAATAAAAAGTTGGGGAGCAAATGCACATTTGCTCTCCCGCTAATAAAAGTAGGCGTGCTGGTACTGCTCTTTTGTTCCGACACCTATCATCTGTTTAACATTCTCATAGTGTAGTAGTATCGTTGCTGGTGATGCAATGCACTCCATGAATATTTGATGGATTAAAGAATTTGGTTTAATGGAGTGTATTCTTTTTACACAGCAGAGCTTGACCATGTGAAGATGAGAGCAAAGCAGAAGAGAGAGGAGGAAAAGCAGCACAGGCAGAGAAAGAGACAGATAGAATGAACAGAAAAAAGGCCTCAACTTATGATATTTCACAATAGTGTGGCAACTGGACAAAGTTATACTCAATCAGGAAAATCTTTGGGAATGGTAAAGGGAATGACCACTTCTTGGGGGGTGGGGTGGTCATTACTGATAAATATCTATGCAACGTTTGTATGTTGCAGCTGTGTCTTTGATGGTTATGATCTACATAACATTCCCACAATACAGTTGCTAATTGTGAGCTATACAACATTCTCACAGTGTAGTAGCATCAGTGCTGGTTATGACCTATACAGCGTTCTTCTAATACAATAGCCTCATTGCTTATTATGATCTACACAACTTTTTCAGAATGCAGTTGAATCATTGCTGGTTCTTATCTACGCAGCATTCTCACAACAGAGTTGTGTCATAGCTGATTATGATCTGCATAACATTCCCGCAACACAATAGTATCGTTGCTGGTTATGATCTGTGTAATATTCCCACAATATAGCTGTGTCATTGCTAATTATGATCTATGCAACATTCTCACAGTATAGTAGCATCATTGCTGGTTATGATTTATGCAGCATTCTATTAATACAGTAGCATCATTGGTCATTATTATCTATATCATTTTTTCAGAACACAGTTGTGTCATTGCTGGATATATTCTATGCAGCATTCTTACAATAATGTTGTGTCATGGCTTATTATGATCTGCATAACATTCCCACAAAACAGTAGTATCATTGCTGGTTATGATCTATGAAATATTCCCACAATACAGCTGTATCATTGCTAATTATGATCTATACAACATTCTCACAGTATAGTATAATCATCTCTGGTTATGATCTATACAGCATTGTATTAATTAACATTCCCACAACACAATAGTATCATTGCTGGTTATGATCTATACAACATTCTCACAACACAGTAGTATCATTGCTGGTTATGATCTATACAGCATTCTTCTACTATAGTAGCATCATTGCTGGTTATGATCTATGTATTATTTCCACAATACAGTTGTATCAATGCTAATTATGATTTATACAACATTCTCACAGTATAGTAGAATCATTGCTGGTTATGATCTATACAGCTTTCTATTAATTAACATTCCCACAACGCAGTAGTGTCTTTGCTGGTTATGATCTGTGTAATATTCCCACAATACAGCTGTATAATTGCTAATTATGATCTATACAATATTCTCACAGTATAGTAGCATCATTACTGGTTATGATCTATACAGCATTCTTCTACTACAGTAGCATCATTGGTCATTATGATCTATATATTTTTTTTCGAATACATTTGTATCATTGCTGGTGATTATCTATGCAGCATTCTTACAATATAGTTGTGTCATGGCTGATTGTGATCTGCTTAACATTCCCGCAACACAATTTTATCATTGCTGGTGATGATCTACGTAGCCTTTTCACAACACAGTAGAATCTGTGTTGCCCTGTTTTCATCTCAACACCCTTCTGATCCATCATCGCCTTGCAGGACCTACTCTTACTGACCTGAGATTCATCCATCAATACCTGAGAACAACAGATTGATTTGACCTTTCCCATGCTACTGCAGGCGCCTGCCCTTATTTGGGCTCCGGTTTTTTCTCACCTTGCACCTGGTGGCGGGGACATGGTCGACACAGACTGATAACACGCACTTGTGTCTTAGCTGTAAAAGCACAGAGCTCCATGCTCTTCCTGATAGTTCTAACTGCACCATCTTTTGACAGATGTCTGTGGGATTATTATTGCTTGTTAAGTATGCGGGTGAGCATGTGTGTTCATGACTGTATTGTGTGTGTCCTTATGGTGGGGGTAAGCAGCTGCACAGCTGTGTAAACACACCCAGGCATCGCTGTAGGCCCTGCCTGTCTGTTGAGACTGCACTGCAGTAGACGCACAAGACTGGCATGCTAGAGTCAGGCGAGCGCAGCTGGATCAATGCATCGAGCCGTGGCTTCATCAAAGGACAAACACCTCAGCTGTTTGTCTGTGCGCGGCCCATTCCACATGCACAATAGCCTCTGTCTGTATGACTCACAGCTGCTATTAGCACATAGGAAAAGAGACATAATAACTATTACAGGCAATTTTGTTGTGCGCCCCATATTGATTCATTGTGATTCAAGCCTGAGGAATGGAGTTAGTCTGCCATATATTGCACTAATTAAATGATAATAAGCAGCCAATACATTGTGCCCTCATCGCGTTGATGCTGTATGTCAGTTGAGGTCTGTCACGTGCTGGATGTGTGTATTTAGCTGCACGCAGATTGTTTCTCATTAAGTGTGCTCCCTCTGGTCTATTGTCTGTGTTCCGCTGTATTATCAACCCTGGCACCCTATAATACTCGCTGAGAAATCTTGTCTATTCAAAGGCTCATTTATAATCACAGGACTTATTGTGAAATTCATTGTACTTGAACCTGTGATTCAATTAACACTATTAATGCCTTCATATTGAGTATAAATGAAATGTAATTTTCCCAATGTGAATGGACGTTCTGGAAATAGCTGATTTTTTCCCCTGCCGGATTAATTTGATTTATCTTGATTAATCTCTCTCTCGCTCTTTCTCTTTTCTCTTTCTCTTTTTACATGAAGTTGCACCTACAACCCCGACGGTCCGCTCCGAGTTCTTCAAGCCTTGCCAAGACAGCCAAGAGCTTGCCTTCTGTCTGAACGAAGGAGAGTGCTTCATTATCGAGACAGTGGCAGGAGTGCACAGACACTGCCGGTAAGACTCTCTCTTACTTTCCTCTTTTTTTTAGCTCAGACATATGTACGTGTCAGACAGAGAAAACGTGTATGAATATTCCACTTGCGTTTTAAACCTTTTTTTTTCCTCCTTCCGCTGCTTCACTCTTTCCCCAAGTTGATGTTATGTCCCTTGGTGTGCGTCAGAGTTGATTTTAGTTATTTTTACTAATCCATAGCCATAAGTGAAGAAAACAAAAGCTGACTAGCTTGGCTGGCTGGCAGCATGTGTGATGGTGGAAAGCGCAGTGTCCTAATTGCCGACATCAGAGAGAGGAAGAAGGAACGGTGGTCAAGCTGTTAGTTGCTCCATGATGAGTGTTGACATTCTCTGTATGTGATGCTTATTTGAAAAGCCAGGATTTCTACCCAGGTACTCAAGGGTGTAATTAGGAGCAGATCTTCCACACTGGAAGGACTATAGGATATAACTGGAGGAGTCTAATGCAGCCAACTCTTTCAGGGATGAGTGACTTGGCTCTGAGATAATAATTGCAGGTTTCTTTGACTGCTCTGAAATGCTCTTGCGTCACTCTCTGGATGGTAAGATGGCAGTACAGTAAAAAAAATCAACTGCTTCACACATCTCTTCTGAAATGGACAGTAAACCTACGATTAACATTAGAAATTAGATCACCCAGTGTTTCCCACAAATAGATCACCCAGTGTTTCCCATGCATAGACACAGTCTATACTTGGGTGCCTCTTCTCCCAGTATATTGAAGTATGTTTTGTCCCATTTTAATGGTCTAATTTTAAGTCTAATTTTAATTTCATAAGAGAAAATATTTTATATTCTTTTGAATAAACAAAAGCAAGTGCAGTGTCATGGATGCAAAGCATCACTCTTTTTTCTTTGGTCGTTTGTATGACCTAAAGTCTGTGATGCACTCCACATCTAACAACAAAAAGCATGAAGAGTTTTACATTCTCTTGTCTGAAGCATTATTCAAGTACCTGTATAAGTTCTCTGATGAATTCAGCTATCCATACACTCTCAGAAATAAAGGTCTGAAACTGTCACTGGGGCAGTACCCCTCTTGTCACTGGGGTGGTACACTCAGGGGTACATCTCAGTACCATATAACATAACTGTACCATAATCTATTGACATTACATTTTCTAAATTGTATTGACTCCACACCTAATTTAAAACATTAGGTTATCAAAAGATTCAAATACTTACTTTTTTACTGGGAAAAACTTATTTAAGGTGCACAGCTGGACCTTAAAATCACTGTTGAACCGTTGAGGGTAGATTTATTTAGTTTGTACCTTGATGAATGAAAAATGTACCTGCACAGAACCTGTATTTCTAACAGTATATGAGGAGTTTCATTCCAAACTGTTGCATAATCATTTGTAACCATTTAAAACATACTGCATTTTTGAGAAAGAATAACAGCTGACATATAATGGAAAGCACATTTTCATTTCTGTAATAAAGGTGGTATTAGTCATAACATAACATTAATATTTCATGTATGTGTAATGCTTACTCCCAACAATGTTTGTCATGAAAAAAAAAAATTCTTCAAAATGGTCTATAATGCATTTGGAATGAAACCCTTTGTACGTTCAAATAACCTCCCCACAGCTTCCCCGAGGTTCGTTTCAGACATGTGGGAAACACTGGATCACGTCTTTAATGATGTCTTCTCTGATGAAGGCTGCTTAATTATGCCACACTACCTTGAAGCCATTGAGCTACCAGAGCAGATGACAGATTCAGCAGAGGTTGTAGTTTTGCAGCATGATCGACATATGGCTTCAATACCCAAGAGCATTTCTCTTCAGAAAATTGTGTAGCATCGTTTAGGAAGAGAAGCTGAGTAATATCCTCGCAGATCTTCATCAGAAAATTGTGAATGCAAGCTTTGTTTTGAACATGGGGAACCATTCGTTTTGATTTTTCGTCAATCCGAAACTCCATTTGCTATTCTCACAGCCCTAGTTATACTGATAGACCTGTGTATTGCTTCTCATCACTCAAAATTAATGAAGCTTTTTGAGGGCTTTCAAGCTAACCGCTGCTACCTTAGGCCCTTAAGTACACGACTCAGCAGCCTACTATCCAGTTCAGTCCTACTTACAGCATACATACAGTTTAAGCTTTCACTCATATCCATCTGTTTCCTCTCTGTTTGGCTTTTTATGTAATGCTAACATTTGGACCTCATCATCGCCATGGTAACAGCTCTTACCAATTCATTAGGGCTATATAGCTTCCATATGGCTGCATGAAGGTCTTAGGAAAATAAAACCCATTTAGAATGCAATATTCAATCTTAAGAGAATGGTTCCACTTTCTCTTAGCCTTAGTGGAGATAAGGAAGAGTTTTTACTCACCTTTGCTGCTCCTGTAAGAGGAGGATTGAGGCAATTTGAAAGCACTCTTCAGCATATTAGTTCAAGTTACTATTTTTGTTTTTTCCTGCCTGGGTTCATAATAGGGTACATATTGTTATATTCATGAAAGCCAGTGTTTAAATGAATGTCATGCTTTTTAAAAGGCAATCACCTTGCCTCCCTTTAATGTTGTTACATTTCCTGAAAATGTGTGGATGTGTCGAGGGAGGAGGAGAACAGTTATGTGGGAAGAGATAAAAGATGAAACAGACAGAGAGAGAGCAAGACATAGGCAGAGAGAGAGAGAGAGAGAGAGAGAGAGAGAGGGAGAGAGAGAGACCAGTGTTTAATGAATAAATACTTCTCTGTTGCACACTGCAGAAAATCCGACAAGGAGGAATTGTCCAATGCGCGGCAGCAGTGAAGACAAATGGTAGAGGAATAGGTGTAAAACGCACAGGCAGGATCTGCGAGACCAAGGCGAGGGTATTAACAGGATCTGATATGACAAAATAAATCACATTAATGATGACGACATCTACTTTTTATAACTTTTCCTCCTCGCTCTTTCCCCACTCCTGGAGAAGCAGGCAGTGATTAAATTGTCAGTAGGCTGTCAGATCTCGACAGCCTGTGTTAATCCCGGCTGCTGTCTCCTCTCATCTCATTTGTTCAGAGGGGAGGAGCTAACCGCATTCGCGTCCGATGGGCCACTGATGAACCCACAAAGGCGACCTTTCGCATTCAAAATGTGCGTGGTGATAAAGGCTCCAGCCGGCCTTTAAAATACTGCACTAGAAGTGCTTGTCATATGCAGTGAATGTTAATACAATCAGTTCTTCACAGACGCAATGAATATTAATGGTAGTGCACAATTAAGAAGGCATTAAGAAGGCAGAGGTCTTAAGCAACATAGCTGAATGCAATCCTGCTTGACAGAAATTGTTCACGCATGACACAATCCGAAGTGAGGTGCTAGACAGCATGATTCAGAGTAATACAATAAATTATTCTCATGCAATATTCTTAAATATAAAGGTACTTAAATGTTTCTTAGCCTGAATGTATGATTTAAATTGACACAGAGTTTTCTCTCCATTTTAGCCATTGTGAGTTATACCCATTAGTCTCCCCCTGAAGGGTGAAGGCTAACTGTTATGCCAGCTTATAAATAGATTATATATTTATATATAAAAATAACTATTTCTATGCTTTTTTTACATTTCTATGAAAAATGCCAAAATTGTTTATACTCTTCTTCAGTATTCAGTGGCAAAGTTTTTATTTGTCATCACAGCAACCAAATGGTTTCTATAGTTGGTAACAAGGTTTTTCATGTCTCCACTGGGATTTTGGACCACTCCTCTTTTGTGACAATCTTCAGGTCTTTGAGGTTGGAAGGCTTTCTTGCCATCACTCTGGTCTTTAGTTCCCTCCACAGGTTGTCACTGGGATTTAGGTCTGGACTCCACTCCAAAATGTTTATATTGTTTTTTTTTTGTTAACCAGTTCTTGACCACTTTTGGCCAGGTTTTTCTGCAGGCTGCCTGATGTTTTCCTCCAGAAACTTAATGTAGTCCTCTTTTCTCATGATGCCATTTACTTGACAAGCTTACTCAGCCACATTGGCTGAAAAAGCATTATATTTCCACCACCATGCTTGACCATGATGGCATTGAACGCGTCTTCCTTCTTTCGCCAAGCAAAAGCCACATCCCTCTGTCCAAACAACTCCATTTTCATCTCATCTCCAAACCCTTTGACCTTGTGAGCTTTTGCAAAGGTTAGGCAAGCTTTTTTGTGCCTGTCTTGGAGAAGTGGAGTCCTCCTTGGTCAGCCTCCATGGAGACCAGCCTTGTTCAGTGTCTGCTGGAGTGTCTGCCTTGAGATGTTGGTACCAGAACTGCTCAGATTCATCAGGATGGCCTTGGTGGTAATCCTTGGATTCTTCTTGGCCTCTCGCAGTATCACTGTTGCCAGCGCAGGATTCATTTTTGGCTTCCTACCACGCCCTATGAGATTTTTGACATTATGGAACTACTTTTTGATTGTGCTTTGGCCAATGGCACTTGAAAACTCTTGGATACTTCTTTATAGCCTTTCCCTGTGTTGTGAGCAGCCACAATGTGCAACTAGATGTCCTCACTGAGCTCTTTGATTTTAGCCATGACTTGCAATTCACTAATTCACTAAATTCACTAAATAATTGACTAGAGAACTACTGCATCATCTGTTCTCAATTTATAGTTGATTGAAATGCTCTAGAACATGTTACAAAAGACTAAAACCACTTGGAATGGTAGGGAAGCTTGCATTTTCTCAAAACTTTTTTCTGCACTTTTTTAAGGGGTATGAATAACTTTGGACATGGCATTTTTAGTAAAAATGTAAAAAAAACAAATTATAGTGATAATTAAAATTGTCATTATATTATTATTATAGGCTACACACAAAAAGGATGTCAGCTGTTGACTGAAACTAATATTTAGAGCATAGTTAAACAGCAGTTTTGAATTTGGAGTTAAACTGCATCTTAAATACAACCAAAGAATAAATTGTTTCATTTCAGTTTTTCCAAAATACAAATAGCCATTCTTTTAAAAGCTGACAGACTAACATGATCCTTTAATA